CCACAATTCCAATGTAGTAGAAATTTAACATCTGGTTAAAGAATATAGATGTCATAAATCAACTCAACCCATAGGGTCTAATTAAAAGCCATTAGAGGTGGCCATCATTCCTGGGGGTGCAGATTACAGACAACTTTACCCGTACTTTAAACACCAACTCACTGGTCAAAAGGGCACAAAAGTGCTTGTACTTCCTGTGGAGGACAAGGAGAGCCCACCTACCCCCACCCGTCCTCATCACCTTTTACAGAAACTGCACAGAGAGTGTTCTGACCAGCTGTCTCACTGTGTGCTGTGGAGGCTGCAGCTCCTCAGACTGAAAGAAAGTGAGGAGAGCAATGAGAACAGCAGAGATCATTGGGGCTCCCCCCCGCCCCCATGGACTGTTCTTCCTACTGCCCTGTGGGAAGAGACTTTGAAGCATCCGATGCAGGTCCAGCAGATTCCAGAACAGCTTGAACTGTTGTATAAAATAGGGTTTAAAAGAAAAACAAAAATAAAACACTGAATGTTGGAAACTGTAAATCATATACCCATCTTATGTTTACAGTTGATCACCATGTTTACATTTTATCACTGCTGCGCTTTAAAAATGGAAATGTCGAGAGGTGTAGGCCTATTGAACAACATTTCTTTTTGTATAAACTGTGTGTAAAAAATGACAAAGTCAAAGTAAAACGACTGTTATACAATGAATCTGACCCCTGTTACATCGGATTTCTTAATATCCCTAGATTAAAGATTCATAACCTTGTGGTAGGGCCATAAACTAAACACTATTCCCGGAGGGTCTGATACAAAAGGTCAGTCCCAAACCACTTATTCGGTGGTTCGAGTGGACCAGTCAGCCTTTGCATCAGTGGAGGCTCGTTGGAATTATTCAACGGGTGTACCCGCGAAATAATGACGGAGGAAACAAGTGCAGTAAAATATAAGTTCTGCTGATTTGCTGCGACTTCGTTACGCTGACAGAAAATCAAGTTAGTAAACCTTAAAGGAAACGTAATCTGAAATACTACTAATACTGCAATTATTTAATTTCAAGAAATCGGAAATTGTTTGATGTAATTTCAACCTACAGAGCTACAGCCATGCACAATCGGCGTCACTGTGTTGCCACAGCAACGACTTTCCTATTCCTCGTTTATATCCCCCCACGTCCAATCCAGACAACTTCCACAGCTGAGTGGGACTTCATTGATGGTTAAAGGTTAGTGCTGAGGGGGCGGTTTGGGTTTAGGTCCTTTTATACTGAAAGTCTGACGCTAACAAACAGGAAACAAGGTGTATAGATCAGGTTCACCACTTTTTAATGCCAACAACTGACGCGCCCACAAGGTGGCGCTCTGGGCAAATAATACATTAGAAGTCACATTTTAAAGGTAAATGGCAACTGCTACAATTTTACAATTTTTAAACCTTTTTTAATCCCTGAAAAGTAATAACATGGCACACGCCCCATTCAGTCAACACTTTAGCACAGTTTTATTCACCACCTTCATGTTTGTCTCCAGCAACACCAACAGCTCATACTTGGTAAAAGAAAACTGATATTTCTCTTTACAGCTAGAAAACTTGAACAGAAGCTACTTTTCCATTTCAGCAACAGTAATGACAGCATAGGTGCTGAGAATCAGCACTGAGTATTCAAATTAAACAGGTTGCCATTACGTTTAACCCCCTTAACTTAAAATAAATGTGCTCTTCATTCCATTTCTTAATTGAAAAGTAACAAAACAATGTTAATCTTTCAGCAGGACTTTTCTTAATTAGGATGGACTTTTTCAGCACTGTAAAATGATCTGTTATGTAAATTCCTTACAGGAAAGGATGTCTGCCTTTGATTGCAAGACAAATACCCGGAAGTGATGTCAGTAAAAGCTTGGGTCATGAGAAAACAATGACAGGAAAGTCAAATTTTAGTATAAAAATAAATATAAAGGTCCCTTTGAGAACAAATAACTGATACAGCACAAGAATTTGGCCATGAAGAAATAATCTAGAATTTGACAATAATTTTAACATAATTTGACAGCATATCAGCATAAAAAAAGCAAATATTCAAACATACAACCTCTGTGCTGTAAAGCACAAGCATAAATCCAGCTTTGACAGACAACAGATGTACATGCATTTCAGTTTTAAACTGGAAATATGAAAAAAGTTGCAGAAAAGTCATTTTATACAAAGGATATGAACAAGTAGATATTTGTTTATTCAGACAGAATATTATTGGCTGCTTGTGGCTTTAGCCCTTTCTGATTATTAAGTAAAAGCTGGATTATTTTATATACAGCTGAAATGCATGTACAATCTCAGTAAGCATGCACAGAGAAACAGTAATTAAATATACAGTCATACCACGTTCAGTTTGAAGTTACAGAGGCTAAAAAACAAACAAAATGTCACAGAAAAGAAGAAAAATAAGATATTTAAGGGATTGTTCCCAAGCTCAATGACAATACAGAAAACAGAGTGCTAACAGCACAATGATAAAGGCCTGCTTTGTTGTTTTCTTTTGCCCTCGGTAAACCCAGACCAACAGAAATAGGCCTCGTACGAGTCACAGGCTGTGGCACATGGAGAAAGCCCGTCTATTGAACAGAGCGACAGTAGAGATGTCAAAAAGCAGCTGCCATGTTGATACACAAGACACTGTATTGGCAGAAGCAGACACAGACTGCCCACAAAGAGCAACGAAGAAACAGCCTGATTCCAGTATTTCCATCCAGAAGAGGAATGAAGCAATGATCATGATGACGATGATGATCATGATGATGATGGCACAGATCTCTGCATCTAATGACCAGAGCAGGTAAGGAGCAAAAATCATTTAAAATTCATGTGGCGAGTCTGGACCTTTGGCGAGTGCTAACGTCAGATTAACAAAAGAAAAAAAAAAAGTTGCTTCAATACTCACTGACTCACATCTCTGGTCAACTTAAAAGGGTTTAAAATGGAAAAAAAAAAAAGTCCAAGTCAACCACATTAGATTGTCCCCAAAGCTTTTGGCAAAAAGGATAGTGAATGTTTAAAAGGATAAATAAATATAAAAAAAGAAAGAATAGATGGAGGGCGGACAGCAGGTCTGGATGAGGTATAAATCCCAAGTCACCGCCTCTGATAGGCACCTAAAAAAAAAAAAATACAATCCCTCAGTTTGATCAGTCAGCCCACCTTTTGTATTTAAAGGTTAAAAAAATATGTTTTTCAACATTTTCATGTAAATATGTACCTCTAGAAGTTGCTTCAGGTCTCTGTGGAGGGCGAGAGGCAGCGGGGTGGTCTGAGTATCCATACACTGAGCTAACATTCTCATAATCATGCGTACGAGGCTGAGGAGGTCTGTGGCAACAAAGAAACGTCAGTTATTAAAATGCACAGTCATGAGAATTTATCAGTGATTTGCTGCGGATTTGGCCTGGTACCGAGCAGCTCTGTTGTTGTTCCTCTGTCTATGATGGTCGTACTCATCTCGCGTCCGAGGCCGCACCACCTCCTCCTGATAAGGTGAAAAACATTATTCTCATCAGTTATAGTCCTTCAACTGATACAGAACGATTCAACAACATTATTTTCTTTATTTTTGCCTTGAGAAAGAACGGTTGTGGGTCGGCTTTGTATAAATAGAGTTAAAAGACGTGGCTACCTTGTAGTTGCCCTCGTGTCGCTTTCTCTCTGCGGCCATCTTCTCCAGGGCCAGCCTCTCCCGCTCCTTCTCTTTCTCACGTTCTCGGTTCCTTCTGTACTCCTTCTTTTCCTTTTCCATCAAGAGCCGAGCTATTTCCTGTCAGACAAATGTAAATTTTTCTGACATCACTGTCTGGCCTGAGAAAAAAAAAAAAAAACTAAATGAAAGATATTTAAAAACATCTTATTGAAACTTGCCTCATCTTTTGCCATCTGGGCAGCACGCTCCTGCATATGGCTTGCTTTCTGAAACAAGAAAGGTTTTAAAACTTGCATTAAAATACCATTAAAACAGTAAAGGATTTTACCCCCATGTTGTACATAAGACAGGCTTAGCATCGATGCTTTTTCTCCCTCACCCTGAGTTCCTCTTCTTGAAGTCTTCTTGCGACCTCCATGTCCTTAAGCTCCTGCTCCCGGAGGTCGAGGTCAGTCAGCCCCTGTGTGGCTTCAGTCAGCCCATACTCTGGGTCTGCAATAGCTGAGCTACTTCCTGCATGCACAATATGGCCTGCAGGAGGAAACGCATTGAATAAGCAAACTGGAAGGTAAAAGATCACATGAATTGAACACCTAGCACAGAAATCAAGCACCAGTGGGAATACTGAAGCTTGTTTTGCGTGATTAAGGAAGCATAATCAGAGAACCAGCAGGATTAGGTTTCTGTAACTATAGAGATAGAGTGGTTAGACCGATTACAAAATACATCATTGGTCAGTGAACGTGTTGTCATGAGGCATCTTTTAAAGGGCTGCAGTGCTTTTTTAATGCTGTTCATAATCATTTTTCTTTATTAGCTTAGCCTAATTGGTTTAATACAGCTGAGACTGGAAGCAATGCTTCTTATTTGGATAACTTTATAAACAGCTCAGCAGCTCTGAAACCCTCTAATGTTCAACCATTCCAGTTCATCAAGATGTGTGGAAAACAAAGGCAGAAAGAACAAACCACACAGCATGGAAGCAACACACAGTTTCTACCCATCAAAGGAACTTTAAAATAATCAACGCCATTCGGATTTTTGCCATGAGTGATTTTCTTGTTAGATCAACCCACCACCTGAGATTTCTACAGCAGAAAGTGAGGCCAGCAAACCACACAAACACCCCAGGAGACCCCAGAGGGGGGGGCTCAGGTGGTACCTGTCTCTCTGTTGGGTTGGCTAAGACTGCGCTCCCTCTCAGAAGCCTCCCCCTTTTGGAGGTCCCAGATCTCCTTTGGGTCTCCTCGGTCTTCGCCGTTCAGAACCACATCGAACACGTCGACTGGGCTGGAGTGGATGCGCTGCCTGCTCCTGGCCCTCCTTCCTCCATCATCCTCTTCCTCCTCCAAGGATCCCCTGTTCTCTTTTCGCCTGTCTCTGCTGGACCCTACTTCTAAGGAGTCCAAGTCGAGTCCTCGCTCCCTGCTTCTGGCTCGCCGTCGCTCTTTGTCTTTCTGTCTTAGTCTGTCTCTTTCTCTCTGTAGGTCATCACTTGGTATCCGATCTCTGGATTTTTCCCTCTCCCTTCTCTGCCTGGGATCATGCTCTCTCTCTCTTGTGTACTCCTTCTCCATATGCCTCCCCACTTTATAGTCCCTGTCCCTATCATGCCTGTACCCGTCTTTGTCTCTTTCTAGAGTAGCATGTGGTGGAGGTGGTCTGGCTGGTCTCTCTTTCCTCCTTATCACTCCATCTACATCCTGGTCCCTGGCTCTGCCAGTGTATGAAGGCTCAAACTCTGGGTACCTGTCTGCATGCTTGCCTCTAGAGGGCAGCAGGTGTTCTGGATATGGATCTGCATGCTTGCTACGCCCTTGTTCTGCCTCCAAGTAGTGTTCTGCATATCTGGGGTGGCTTCGAGGGGCTGCAGGGTCCTGCTTTGGATACCTGCTCCTTTTGGGCTCAGCGGAATAATAATCTGGAGAGTGTTTTCGGTTTGGGCGTGTTGGAGAGTAGGAATCATAATGTTCCGGTGATCTGGATTTCTGACGGGCATGTTTGTCCACATCGACAGTTCTGGGTTCTGATGAGCGAGTAGTAGGGGGGGGAAGATGAGGAGAGCATGGAAATGTGAGGAAAAACAAACAGAATGCCATAAGCCAAGACAGCTATAAGCATGCGGTTAAATGCAGCACCTGTGAGGAGAGATGGTCAGGGCACAACGTTTATGCTATGGAGGTAGAACCCACCCAAAAAGTCATGAAATGTGTGTTCTACCAAAAGGTTAGACGATAAGATATTGCTTTCATTCAAAATTAAAAAAAAAAATATATATACACATTTGTAACAAAATGTTAAATGGACCTAATACTATGCAGCTAAATTGCTGTTTATGAGGTAACAAGTCTGGGAGTGAGTGTGAAAATAAAAAGACAACACACATTCAGGACAAAAGAACATGACTTGATTTGGAAAAACACCTCCATCCAAACCAGTCTGTAGGGAGTTGGCTTGTGAGACAAAACAAATGAGTGGAAATGAACAAAGCTCAGACCAGGCAGCGCTGATGAAAGTCATCGCAAAGGAATTCCTGTTATCTAACAGGCTGCTCTAAAAATCCAATCAACTCTCTGTCTAACAAAAAAAAGTTTGGAACATAAATGGTTTCTTCCTACACACAGAGACAGAGCTAGATTAACAGAAGATGTAACTGAAAGCCATCTTCAATGTTCTGGTTTATTAAATTGAAAAATAAATAAAACAGACATGAGCTGAAGATCTCTGTCCAGCCAGCAGGCAGCTTTATAAGTAACCAGACTCACTGCCATTAGATAAATACAGTAAGAGGCCCCTCATGTCCTGCTTCGTGGAGCGCTTTATAAGAAACCATCTGGTTTTACAGTCCTGCCTAGGAGAAATATTTACATCCTTTGCTTTCTTCACAATGCATCAAAGGAAAAAAAAAAAAAAATAAAAATCACACACTTGAGTACACACAAATATATTGTATATAATCATGACTTCACCTGTTACGGTAAAAATGCATCCAAACCAACCTTACCCTAAAGAATAGGAACCTCCCTGCATAACGTAAGAGCTGCTATTACCAGCCTTTTCAGCAATACCTGGCAGTAAATCTTAAACATCAATTTAAAGAGCATGATCCCTTCTAAGAGGTGTTTAAATTCTTCCACCATGTTTGATGTCTGTGACATGGCATCTTAATTGGATTTAAAGTTGGAACTTAAATTATGGGAGGAAAAAAGCCAACCAACCATTAGAATGTCAGCTCAATAAATTGTTCTGAAACTCTGTGTCAGATTTTTATTTTTTTCCTCAGATTTTTAAGATTTACATCTTCTATAAAGTAACAGTTGACTCATTGGTCCACAGATCCTTTCCTTAAAAGTGTTGAAGATGTTTTTAGGTAAATGTGCTACAGACGCCCCATCTCTTTGTTGAATCATGAACACAGACCTCCAGGTTTTATAGAATTCTGCGTTTATAGAGGTCATATTTTATATCTTTACATTTGATCACTGCTGCACTTTAAGAAATGGAAATGTCATGAGAGCTGTACAAAACTCAATTTCGTTTTTTTATACACTCTGTTTATACAAAATGACAGTAAAAGTTGTCTAAGTCCAAGTCTTTATATATTCTAGAGGGATTCATATCATCCCCGGGTTGTTGTTTTGCTCTTAAGAGTATTTTTGGTAGTTCTGATACTACTGGATAAGTTCTTTCCTGTCGCAGGTTTTCTCAATTTGTGATTAATAATTTTCTATATGGATCACTTGAGTCCAGAACACTGCTGTTATTTTTTTTATATACTTCTTTGTATCTGGTCATGAGGTGTATCGTTTGAGGGCGTTTTTTTCATCATCTGGAACTACTTTTTACATTTACTCAGTGTATCTTTCCCTGGATAAAAAAAAAAATTGGGAGGTAAATAGTTAAGTACTATAAAACAGTAATTAATCATAAATCAGCAGCACTCTACCAAAAGATATGCAGTGGAAGGCAATCAGAGCACTGCTATAATCAATTGGGATTTATTAACCACCACCAGCTATGATGGTGTAACCTGCAGGTCGCCTTGTGACGTCTTTCCTACATAACTTGAGATACAGAGTAAACAAAAGAGCAACCTCGGCCTCAAGCAAGATCACACTTAAACTGCTCTGTACACACAAACTCAGAGGAGAGCTTACAACGTGAGCAACTATGGCTGGACGGCAAATAGTGATGATGCATCTGCGGCAAAAGGAGCGTGTATGATTGGTTCAGCTTCTTCAACAATTATAAGGGGCTCAGGTAAAAGGATGGATTCAGACGACAGGGGCAGAGGGAGCGGGAAGACGGATAGCAGCAGATAGTAGCCCACTCCTGTTTATGTCAACAAAGAGCTCTGTGTCTGTCAACATAAAACCATAAGCACTCAGCAGCTACGGACAAGCTGCTGCCCTGCTTCTGAAAATAAACTGTTTTTTATTTTTGAAAACTTATTAAAAAGGATAAACTTTTAAGTCTCTGAGAGAAAATAAAATGTTTATCTTCCCATTAAAAGAAAAGATCATGTTAATGTTGAAGTCTTTGAAGGGGAATCTCAGGCTTCAATAATTTTTCCTATTCAATAGAATGAGCAGAGTGAAAAAAACCAACAAAAAAACGTGTACAGAAAGCAACCCTCCCACACCTAATGTCACACCCTTGATTGAAAAATGTAAGGCTGGGTTCAGACATTGGTACTGCATTCTACATCACCACAAGAACTCTCTGGGTTGGTTGGTGCTGAAAGGGATTTTCTCCAAAGACCATTTAAAAAAGTGGAATTCGTGTTTTTCAAAACCTGTCAGCGTGACGAGGAATTTACAAAACACTCAAAAGAAGCTTATTGTGTGATCAAAAATTATGAGGCTTCAGTGAGATGAGTCATACAGAAGGTCGGGGGGGTGGTTTGTATGTGTATGAAAAACAATATGTGAGACAAAGATGCTCGCCTACATTTAAAAAAGCATGACTGAAATTTGAAGCCTGTTTATGAATGGTAATAAATCCCCAACAGCTTAATGAAGTTTTCTCTTCATGCACTCATTAATCAATAACACTTTTCCTCATTTATGATCAACCATAAAGCTGTGAGCAAACCTCAACCTCTTCACATTAACAGCTGTTCTCCCATGAGCCTAATTAAGTGCTTATAAATGCATTCTCAAATCTTTGCCTCTAGTCAGCATCATTATAAGGACTATGACGCATCAAAAGCACACCCTCACACATCGACAGCATGGGACAGAAACAACCCTTTCTTCTAAGAGAAAAAGATCTCCATCCATGTTGTCCTGCAGGAGCTTATACAGGCATGAAAAGGAAACAGCAAAACATCAACAGAATCGGTGTTGCTTTCCCCACCTCCGTGATCCTCAAAGTAATCCTCCTCATGTTTGGCTTCCACCTGTTTCTGTCTCCTCCTTTCCTCTTTCATCTCCTTCTCCTGCAGCTTACGAGCAATAGCCTGAAGAGAATGATATGATAAATGGGTCGGATTTATCGTTTTATTGGGGTAAATAAATTTGGGGTTGTTGGAATAAAACCATTGAAACAGATATCAAAATAAGGAGTAGTGTTCTTGACATTTTTCCATTTTTACACAGTTGCAGGGTAAAGTGGGCGCACTAAATGTAAGCAACCAAAGCTATTTGTGTCATTAAGCTTTCAAAAGTGATTGTGAGAGTATGTGTTTCTTACTGCATCCTTCTCTTCCTGCTGTCGCTGCCGCTCTGCCTGTCGGACCAGTTCTTCCTGAATCTCCTGTGCGATCTCAATATCTTGTCGCTCTCTGGGATTCCCGTAGATTTGTGAGCAAAAAAATAACAAAAAAATATAGGTCAGGACACAAGGGATATTTTTGTTTCTCAAATTCTTCAAGTCCAAATTATATCACATTGTCATGTTTTTTTAAAGCCTATACATATATTTCATAATCCATAGATTACTCCCTTAGTTTCGCTAGTTTTATTTATGTCTTGGTTTTCACATTTCACTAAAGCTTTGAAGTCTGAATGTGATTCAAAATTTCTGTAATTACTCTGTCTTCAAGCACTGAAACACTTTTGAACCTGATGAATTAAACAGTTTAAAGTGCTCCTCAGATCAATAATGGTAATCAGAAAATATGTAATCAGAGGTAGCGGTCCATGATACTTATCTCAAAAGGCTGCCTTGAACAAAAACAACACATTGGGAACACCATCTGCCTGGAAAGCTGTCACAGATCACTAAAGGGCAAATGCACGACACAACACATTTTCTACCCTGTTCTGCACCTGTAACCATTCCGAGTTTTAACAGCTTAGGAGAACATAGGAGGAGAGAAAAAAATTCAAATAGCATCTCAATATTCATACAGCATAACGTTCCAGGTGCTAGTGTTTTTGGTGTGCGTGTGTTTGTTTAGAGCCCTATGAGTAGGAGTGCATGATGTGGCACTGAGAAATGCTGCAAAGATGACACTGAGCCAGCAGCAGAAAACAACACGATGGAGGATCTGGCCTCTCTGGGGCCATGTGGTTCTACTAGAACAGTCCACATATGCCTGAAACAGCATTTTATACACCGGCCTCATTGAGCCGGCAGTTTCATCATGATTGAACAAATCAAAGCTTTACTGAAAGAGATCCAAATTTTAGCTTTGCAACTCATCCAGCAAATGTCATCAAAAGTAAAGAAACAGCAGCTTGTCTTCCTATTACTAAAGAATATGAAAAAAATTAAAACAAATCCATAAACAAGGCTTTTTTTTAATCTGATGGTATAGTGGAGGATGTTCTTTTTCCAGTGGATCATCAAAACAAGTTGTCCTCCTAATTGTCAATCATTCTGGTGATACGTTTACGTAAGGCCGGCCCATGTGCCTTTCCTCATTTTCACTTACCAGTGGTGAGTCTGACATAGTGGAAAAATTGCAAATCTTCTTTTGGAACGTAAGCTTGTATGACGATGCAAACAGCAACTTTTAGACAGAGCGTGGGGAAATAGGTTCCTCCATGTTCTCACACGAGTTTAATAACAGTTTCTTTTTTTTTTTAATTTACAATCTTGATGACACTAAAGCGATTTAAAATAAAACATTTCTTAATAAAAATCTGGAGTACGTATAACCTTGTTGGTGGGTTTTAATGGTTGTCATGACAACATTTTAAAAAAGTTAGCCCATCTAGCCTAAGAATACAAAAACAAGAATACTGATGTGTACCCAGACAATGCATAGAGTGATTAGCCTGCTGCTTTACTGAAAAAGCAAAGGAAGTAAATGACATGCAGGAGGCTTACTTTTAGAAAGCTGCTATGCATGACTTTATATTTACGTCACGTTTTAAAAGCTTATTTATAGGCAACAGTAGCCTCTATTTTTGAAATGGGACTAAAGAGAGGGGGAAGACAATAATAGGTAATGCAGCATGCTGCCATACTTGTTGGTGCATTACAGCTGAGAACTATGTCTAACAATACTTATCTCAATTAAAATAGAGGAGGTATCAAGCTCAATATGGAAGCTGTTTAGACAGAAAATGAGGATGGTCATGTTGGTTCTATGAGGACAGCTGCTCTGTGGATGCATGTGTGCCGAGGTAGAGATCCTAGCTTTACCCAAAGGAACAGAGATGTGAAGGAAACCAGCTAGTTTTCAGCTTATTGCTAGCATCTGCTGCATCTTAATGGGTGAGCATGTATCCATCATTAAAGAAAAACTGTGAGGAAATAATTTTTAACCAAAAATTGGTACCCTTGCCTGCCCTTTAGAAGCCTCATCTCCCAAAGATATTTTAATGCACCACTAGAATTGCAAGGTGACAAACAGCTGCAAGTTTTGAAAGGACTTGGCCTATGTACTTAATATGCAAACACACTATAACAGCAAATCGCTCCATTTGACATATTTAGTCTTTAACAGAGTTAGCAAAACTGTAAATACTCCAGGAGAAGGTTGGGGTCACTCTTTGTCCGGAAGCTATTATGGATCTAATCTATTTAAAAGCCTAAACTTGCAGGTTTTAACATCAGTAACCAAGAGCAGACTATGTAACTGGAAATGGGAGCAAAAACTCCACCCCCATCTTATAGAGTAAATTAGCTTTTTCTACAGAGTGGGAAAGAAATATATTCTGATTATTTCAATTTACAGTATGATAAATGTACATATGATGATAAAAACTACGTTGAATATAGTTTTAAAACGTTCAATGTGAGATCTGTACATTTGTTTTTTCCACTACTGTGTGAGTGTAGGTGTATAGATACCCACATGTCACTATTTTGTTTCTGGCTCTGGATCTTGGCTATTTCGTCCTCCTCCTCCTGCAGCTTCTTTGCCACCTGCAGGTCCTTCTGCACCAGGCGGTTCTTATGTACATTGGAAGCCAAGTGGCTTTCAACTGCAGACACAGAGAGATAAGAAGTCCATTTAAACTGTGCACACACAAAGTTACGGTCTTGTTTTCTTTTGGGAGAGGCTGTACTGTTGCGAAGATTGTCTGCAGATGACAAGATAAACGTTAGGAGCTGCAGACGCTCCGGTTTGATGTGATGGAAAAAAGCCGAGCCCCGATTCGCTGAGAAATGAAGGTTTGCAGCTGAGGCGCCTTTCCAAGGTTGTACGATGGCACGCTGTGGCGGAACCAGATAATAAATCCTACTTTGCTGACGCACTTGCTGCACTTTTCAGGCATGGAGAGCATCAGTCACTCACTCGGCTCCGTTTCACCCGATTATTGATCCTCTGCCAGCTTTGAGTGAAAAGGGCTGGAACCCATTTGGCAATTTAGCCATGAGAAGGTCCAATAAGTTTCTATGCGTTGCTGCTGGGATCGAAAGTGGAAACTGAGTCACACTTCTTTCAAAGTGATAAAGAGAGAGAAGGGTAAACATCGATTTTTGTTTTTTGAAACACTGATTAAATGAACCTTTACGGAAAATATTTAGGGGTTAGTTGATGTCACAACCCCAGGCAGCATCCTTGTTAATAAGTCACTCCATTTATCAACAGGACCATTGATTCTTCTCTTAGAGCGAGGAGGGATGGAAAAAAACTCTTAAGAGATCTCACAAAATAAAAACTTGAGTTACCGGTATGCTTTAAAAAAAAAAACGATTTCTGGGAAGGAAGATATATTTTATCTGACCTAAAAAGGCTTAAATGTATGTGGAAGATTTGAAAGGAAAACAAAAAAACAGCTGTTACTCCTGATTTCCCTAAAAACAAGTTGCTTAAGAGCTTCTTTGTGACACCATCTGTCCAAAAAAAACTAAAAGTGATCGTTGAATAATAAGAGGACGAGGCATGCTGTGTCAGTCTTTATTCTTCCCAGGGACCAGCGGGGTCAAAGGTGAAATCAGCATGTATCTTCCTCAAGTCAGATCGGTTGAAGCAAAGCATAAAGACTTTCAGAAAGTAATCACAATGGATCCAAAGGTTAAAAAAACAATAAGCCACACAGTGATTGTATGCAAAACAGGGTTGGGCTTTGGTTAGCTCAATTCTAGCCAAGTTGGCCCTTCAGTACACAAAGCAGCTTTAGACCAAACTTTTTCTGAAAATCCAGCAGTTAACTTAAAAAAAAAAAAGAAAAAAAAAAAGAAAAGTGACAAAATATCGTGTGATCATTATTTAATTCAGATTGATTATACAGTTGGGGTCACAGCATCAAGCAATGACTTTTAGAAGCCAAACAAGCTGATAAAAAGTATTTTCTGGGAACATAAAACCCTATGAGTTACAACAACATTTGATTTCCCTCTGGGATCGATAAAGTTGATTTGATCTGAATAAAATTCCCATTCATCAGTTCATATTGAAGAAAAAATATTCTTCTCAGCCAACTCAAAGGAGCTCAGATGAACCCGGAGCAACAAACCTTAAGATCAAACAGCTCGTGACATTACAGTTTTTAAAGGGAGACATGGCGCATTTGATCTTAATTAGATTATTGGAGAAAAACAAAAAGAAAACTAGCAGCTGGGGATCAAATCCTATACAGCGAGTATCTTTTTAAAAGGCATTTTAGAATGTTGTAAAACTGTAAAGCTTGTTATTCCCATATTAGGTCATAAAAGTACCACGAACCAAGCTAATTGGGCATACAGGGAGTTAGACACACACAGATTAAAACCCTCTTACAAATAGGGGGATACATTTACTGACACTGCAGTTTACCTATGAATGTATTCTGCAAAATGGGCTGACATCATAAAACATGGTGGGCACAGTAAAGGTTTTACTGCCACACATCAAAGACAACTTTCATGTTTTATTAAGAAAAAAAGGAGGAATAAAAACAGGATTTAAAGAGCCCCAATTAGATTAACTGAGTTATACATGATCCCGGCTGGGTAAAATAAAATCCAAATTTGATCCAATATTTTTTACAATAAAAGTATTTGTGTTGCCTCTGAAACGGTGATATACTTCTTTTCTTCCATGTACAGTACTTTGAATTGCATTGCCACTGAAATGAGTGACGGAAATAAAATTGCCTTGGATTAAAATGTTAACACTTGTTCTACCAGTGTGTAAAGTCAGTGTCTTAGAAAACGTAAATAAAAACACACCCCTTACCAAACTAACTGACTACAGCAGCTCTATTAAACATTGCTGCATTAGGCTGTGCTGCTTCACAAAAAAACAAAAAAAAACAAAAAAACTTTTAAATATATTTCAAATGGATCAAAAATCAGATTTCAGTTTTGGGGTTTTTATGATCAGATATGTTTAGATCAGGATAATGTCCTCATTTTTCTTTCAACATAATATGTTATCAATTATACAATTCTCATCTCTACCAAAGAGATTTGGTTTAAACAGGTAGCAGTTTGACTTCTGAGTAAAACACATGGGGATTCGGAAATAGAAAAAAAAATGTGCTTACTTTCTTGTTCCTGCAGGTTATAGGCCAGAGAGTGGTCTTCCAGCACAGCAAAGTCTTTACATACTGAGCAAGAGAAAAAAAAAACAGGCTGTCAGTTGATTTACAGAACAAAATATCAGCTTTTAAGATCAAGTTTAAGAACTAAATAATCCAACATTAAAAGTCTCACTGATGAAAGTCAAACCTGAACCACAAGCATTTCTGAAAGTTCCATCTTTACACTGACTTCATGTTTACCTGCCTGCACCACTCAAAAAATAATAATTTCTCAAGTCATCTTTATTTTTGCCCATCAATTCATGAGAAGTGAATGAATACTTGTCCAATGAAGCCCAGAAAAACTGCCAGCAGATAGACTGATTTCAAATTAATCGGTATGGGTCTAAAAAAAACTTGGTAATATATTTTTTAACTAGAAGTTACATATTTCATAGACTAGGAATTGTGAATTGCAGAGGGCGGTAGATCAGCAAGAAGGAAGAGAGACAATGCAAACATGCTAGTGACTGCATGATGCTCAGTTGATCCCTCAGTCCAAACGATTCATCAAAAACAAATCAATTTCTGAATGGGTAAAACAGCAAAGACTCTTCAAAAACAGTTAAAGGAAAACAAATGGGTTAGCGGAAACTTTTTCCTGTCTCACCTGCTAATTCTGATGTCTTTAACTCATTATTTTTCCTGTCCAAATATCGCATAAAGGGGAAGACGATTTTATGCAGATAGTTTGACAGTGTGATTTAAATAGAACGAAGCATAGAGGTGTTAAAAGGTGACCTCATCTGTGCATTTAAACTTATTTCCATAACCTTGCTTATAAATAATTTACTGTAAAAAAAAGGTGAATTAAAGTCTAATGCACCATTAACGAGACCTTTTAGTTTTGATGCATTTAATGGTTTATAGTTATTGACCTGTGGATTACCAATCCGAGTTGATCAACAGCAAACTGGTTCTGATCTCTGCTTATTAAGTGCATCTAAAAAAAGATTCCATGTGGTGTTATATGCGTGCAAAACACAGAACAAAATTAAAAGCAAACTTTTTCTCAGGCTTATAAATATCGGTGTTGTCTTTGAAGGAGAACTGAAACCATAAAAAGGGAACGATTATTTGCATTTCCATCGAAAACACTTTTAGTTCACTTAGTTTTTGCCTCCTGTCATCATCTTAAGGAGTTTATAGTAAAACAAAAGTCAAAAAAATTGGCAAACTCTTGAGGCAGACAACAAATAGAAATATAAAAAATTATTCCCATACATTCAAACTAGACTACTTATCCAAATTCTAGCCAAGTAAAAAGTACCCTGAGCGATGCAATGATCAATGATCATTTTCCAAACCTACAGCTTTATCTATACAGTTTCAGTATAACTGAAGGTGCCAAAGTGGTAATAGTTCCACGTGTAGGAAGGGGTACTTTCCACAGTGGAAACACCCTCAAGTACCAAACACCCATCTGAAGCATTCTGAAATGAGGCAAACAGATTTCCTTGTCTCCATTTTAATAATTGTTTCAGACTCATTGTAAAATGCAAGTACTTTTCCACTCATTTAACTGTTGATTCAGGCTTAACATCCATTATTTTTGCCACTGCTTAAACAGTCAAACTTCACATTATGCTGATTCAAAGTTTATCTATGATGTTTTTGCACAGGAAATGGTAGCCAACTCCTTCTCCTCCTACAGATGCCAGGCTACTTGCATATATCATCTTACATATTAAGTGAATTATTATCTTCTATTTAGCGCTGTGCTACACTTATTTTCCATAGGTTTACCAGATCATCCTAACTATCAGCACTCCTACTTATGCAAAGCTCTGTTGATAGACCAGGACAAGCTGCAGTAGATGGCTGAACTCTGACAATCATCCTGAAAAAAAACAGGAGGCCATGAAATCCATTAATCCTTACACTGACCACAGCATTTAACAGAGTATAGCCATATGTTTAATCCTCTTAACAGAGACCCCTAAATCCTTGGCTGCACATTTTTCTTATCTTAACTGAAGTTTCGATTCTAAATTAGGGTTAGACTGACATCTCAAAGGAGTAATTTGGAAAACAGCATTTTTTAAAACCCATATGGTAGTGGAAGTTTTACGGCTTATTTAAACAGATGGGTTTAGAAACAATAAGCATTGTGCAGAAAGATTTCCTAAGCCGAATGGTAAACAAACAAGTTTTGAACACTGTGTAGAGGGATCTTGAATAGGCATAGGTTGGAGACGGTGGTGTGGAAACTGAAGTTTCACCATATAACAGTAAAAATACCAGCCTAGTGCTGATCCAAAACTTTCCCAGCTGCATTTTGAGTCTTTTTTCCTCTGCAGACAAGACTGAGCACATATTTCTATCTCTGACCAGAATAACAAGCATGGAGGTGAGCAGCTGCTTCACAATAAATATAATTTCTTTTTTTGTTTGGTATCAGTTGCAAGGCTGCTTGGATTATGTTTAAATCATTTTAAGCATACTGGTTAACAGCTGAGACAAATGCTCACAGCAGAAACCTGAAGGATTGTTCAGATTAGATATAATTCAGCTTTTCTTTTGAGCTCTGGTTGAGCAACATACCAAAAGAAGAAGGCAACAGCTCATTGAGATCAGCTGACCAAAGAAAAGCCACTATTGCTGAACCATATTTATATTTACCTCACAGATCCTCATTGTAATAACAGCAAAAATTGCTGCACAATCATTTTTGTTCTAGTTACCCTAATAGAGGTGGACTTGTTTTTACCAGAGAATAAATAAATAAAATGGCAGGACACCTGCAGCCTTAAGCAATGGGTTTTAATCAGTGCCTTCTTTATGTGGCTCCGAAATGTTTAACCCCTCTAGTATGCTAGCATACATTAGCTTCCATCGCTGCTAAAGCGTTTTTAAGAGAAATATAAATAAATAGCTCCGTTTCCAGTGTAACGTTATCTCAAATAAAGCCATAAAACTGGCTAGTTTCGCATATTTGGGAAAACGTGTTATTGACATTACCCTCTTTCACTCCAGGTAGTTTTTTCTGGTCGATGCTAACGTTACATTCAGCCATGTCGTCACCGGTAACAACTCAAAAACCGCTGACTTTCCAAGGTTTACGGCGGTCCGGTGATTGATCGCCTTTGCGCGTAAATCCCGGATTGATGGTCCAGGTGGTGGACTGCCGTTTTGATTAGTTTCGGTCGCCACCCTCCGCCGATACGTCGCTGTTGAAGCTAGCGTGTCAAATTTCCGCCGAGCGTCCCTCCCTCCGTGCCTGGACGTTTCCGTCAGCCAAACCATAAAGCTAACGTGAGCTAGGTCACTTCCGGAACATTGGTTTCAAAATAAAAGTTTTTTGTTCCACTACGTGAACGAGTATAGCCTCCTCTTCTGCTAGACTTCTTGACACGTTTATACATTCAAGATGAAATAAAATAATTTTAAAAAGCTGTTGTTTTGCACGTATATGCCCCTCATTCTTTCACTTATACTCCATTGAATATTATGGTCAGGCATGCCCTGTGCCAATGTAAAATAAATGTAATGTAGTATAATGTTCTACAATGTAAAATAGAATGAAAGGTTAAAAAAGGAATGAAAATGCTTGAAAAATGTCAAAGCAATTTGGTCAAACTCACTAGGCACACTGACAGAAGGAGACAAAGGCCTTCTGACCACCATCAGTGGATAATGCAGGTTAAGTGTCTTGTCCAAAGACACAATAACAGAGAAAAGTAGAGCTGAAATCCTGCATCCAGCACCAATGTTGATAAGCAAAGAAGGGGAAATGTGGGAGTATTGTCTCTCACTCAGGGGCAAACTGAAGTGCAAGGCTGATGACTGCTGGAGTTTGTTAGTTTTCTGTAGAAATTGATAAGATGAAGCACAAAATGAAAATAAGACAAAAATAAAAATTATAACATCCAAAATAACACAGATAAAAATTGAAAATAATTATAAAACATTTAAGAAAAAAAAAAACATTCTTCATGGTGGCAGCTGCTATTCTTGTTACCTTGTGGAAAAAAGGAGGCCCTGACAGGAGTTAAAAGTAGATGAAGTCAGAAATGAATGTAAACAAATATAAATCAGAGACACAGTCCGACACTATCACGATTTTTTGTAAGAATCCCTTGTTCTAAAGTCTATCAGTCTATCAGTTTACTTATTAGAATCCTCCCCCGAAAAAAGAATAATTTGAAAGTCCAAATAAACCAACTTCCGCAATGAGTCCGGCTACACGTGTTTACCTTGACACATCTCGTTTTGCTTTTGCTCCTGCAACACCTGCACCTTCAAAAGGTTTCTACTCTAAGGACACATTGGGGTCGGTGGGAGGAATCCAGAAAAAAGACGATGCCGGGGACACTTCAATGTTGAGCGTGTAATAGAAAAATGTTTTCGAAGAATAATAATAAAAAAAAAAGACAAAATAAAAATAACAAACGCCCTAAAAAATGTATTGCTTTTAATTTCTTGGCCTCCATTTTCATTACTTAAAGTAACCTACAGTACCATTTATCACATATTTGGATGATGTTATTGTGTATACTGCTTCCTTTAGTGCTTATAGCTGCAAATATAAATTTTTTGTTAATTTACTTACAACATAATTTTACAGTGTATGTTTAAAATAATACTGTTTATTTATTTTATAAAGCGACAGCCTACAGCCCCAGAATCTATCGCTCAACTGAAAGGATCACAGCATAGCTAAGTATTCTATATAGTTCAAAACACACCATTATCTTTTATCAGTGGATGTCATTACAATAACCAGAAATGTAAGAAAGAAAAAAAAGAAAAAAAAAACATCAAGCTATCATCTATCTTCCAGAAAAAAAATCTAAGGATGTGTTTGATATCGTCTCTTGAATAATATTTTGAATTTATGTTTTTTTACTTAAATTCAACTTCCGGGAATCCTAGAGTTACTCAAATAAATGAAGAACAAATACCTAAAAATAAACCAGCCAGAGAGACAGACATACTGTTTGTATTATATTGAGACTCGCTGTTTTTACACCATTTAATAATTTCAATGTTATTTTCTATCTGCGGAGCCTGCTGTGTTATTTAGAGGTTACGTGAATATACAATAAACAATATAGGTTTATAATCACAGGAAATACTAGTCTAAAAAATGTATGCCACCTATAGTGATTTTAGGTATTAGTACCTTTATATGGTGTGAAAACAGGTTTTAAAATGTGTGTTTATTCTATGTGAATCTGTTACTATATAATCTATTTTTCTTTATTTTAACTTTATATATTTTGTAATCAACATCAGATATTTGTGTTTTTCTTATTACCTGATTTTGTGCATGTTCAACTGCATGTCATTAATACAGCGTCACAGAGTTGGTCTGAAGTATTTTTTTTTTTACAAAAAATATGTTTTAATCTTTTTTAAGTGACTATTTTCTGACTTGGTTCAAAACCAAATAGAGGTACTATTACTTTAATAGAAGTATGTCTGTCTGGTCGACAAACTTCTTAGGAGCGCATGCATCTTCATACAGAAACAACCACAGCCCTTCTTCTTTGAGGACAACAGTTTGAATGTAGTTTAATCCTTGTATAAATACAACAAATCTATAAAAGGAATCTTTCAGGGAAAAAAAAAAAAAAAAAACACATGAGGACTTAATAAGAAAATAAATGTTGGAGAAGCTTTTTGCCTTCATGCTTAATGTAATGTGTGACTGAAAATTAACCCTGCACATCACGCCATCCAAAAATTGGGATGGTGGTAGTGTTATGCTGTGGGTTCTATGCGGTTCTTCAACAGTGACTGGGAATCTTGTTTGAGTAGATGGAAAAATGAGAAGGCTATAGGGTGATGGAGTTAGAGACAATGTGTTAATGCTGGATGATGCTTTGCAAGCTGCCTAAGACTGGAATAAAGGTTTGTGTCTGCAGTGTAATAACCATGAACAATCAGAGCTGCAATGTAATGGTTTGGATCAGAGCTTGCCCCTGTAATGAGACAAAGAACAAAAGGGTTAGGGTGTAGAAATGTATTTATAATGAAATGGTAAAACATAATTTGTATAAAGCTTTCATTTCTTATCTTACAGAATAATTAAGGACTTATTCTTGTGTACTGTAGACTGAGGCCTGTAATACTTAACCATAAAGCAAAACACACATTTTCTAAGCATAAATAGTAAACTAAATAGTAAAGAAATTATTTGCTAATCTTATTTAGATCGTTTACTAAGTAGTTTTACTTTACATTACCTGAAATTATATTGAGCTGACATTCATGCTTGTCAGATACCAGTATATCTTGATTGTGGTGGTGGAAATTTAGGAGCTAAATGACTGGAACTGAGATGAGTGGCTTTATTTCCTTGATGTGCAGGGCAGAATGTGGAGACCTAGCAGGTGTTGACATGGTCTCAGTGATGGATATTCCTTCTCCCCTGAATCAGTCCTAAAGATTGAGGAGTTAATCTCTTCCTATGGCACTCCAACTGACCAAACCAATTCACTTACCTCTTTTCGCCCAGACCAACACACTCAGATGTTGCTATTTAAAGAAGCAATTAAGGTAAAAGACAAACACGTGTAGGTGCCAAGAACATTTGACAGAGGTCTTTCATAACCAAGCGGCTGATTGATAACTTCCCTCAGTTTGATTGGGCCATGTCAAGGTGATGGAGGGTTACTGGTCTGCAAGTGCAACGTCAGAGCCCCGTATTTCATTCAAGCGCTTCATGGTCTCTTTCAGATTGTTGGCTGTTGATGAAGTCCAAGACACCTGACTAGACGTTGATTTAAGACACAAGGAGAAAACTGGCTCCTCCTCTCAGCTAAAAATCATATAAATGTATACTGACGGCATGGACTCAAAGTAGAGGATTCCTTGTGTTGTGTTAAGGGGTTCATTTAGGACCATTCTCTGAGTGCCATGGACAGGTTCGCAGTCGCAAACTGCTGTTTGGGACTCCTTGGTTTGCTGTTACTGCAAGGAGTGATCAGTTCGGAGGGGAGAAGCATATTTACCTCTGGTAAGTTTACCAAAAATGTTGTGTTCCATTATGGAGGAGAACTAAAACATTTTCAGACATTTGCACCTTGACTTCATGTTTGAACTGTTTTTTTCCTTAACTTGGAATCTTCATTTGCTTTCTGTTATCAGGAAACCAAGTTTTTAATCTCAAAGATGACCCAGAGATTCAGCGTAAGATTCTTTCAATTCTGTTTCACAAAACCTTGGCTCCAATGGAAAGGGAGGACTTACTGGGTATGTTGAGTTTTTAAATGGAGATACTGCTTCTAGAATCAATTGACAACATAACATAACATCCAATAATAAATGGGTTTCCACTTGTAGGTATGGAGCTGGGTAATAAATTAGCTGATCTCGAGGAGGTAAGACTTTTTCTTTTTTGGTCAGGAAGTAGGATTTCTTATCCTTGTGCTGATTGATTTGATGTTATCTTTTTATGTATTTCTTGTTCTTTTTATTGTGTTACTGTCATTTTAAATACCTGCTTTCCTTTACTTCCCCTTTTAATGTTCTTATAAATTTGTGAAGTTGACTTGGCTTGCTTATATGAAGTGTGATAAAATTAGAGCTGCAACTAACTTTTTTTGCAAATCCATAAATCTCATCTCAATCTATTATTTTTTCGAATAATTGATTAATAATCAGATAGACAAAGGTTCCTTTAAGAAGATTTTTATACAAATTAATCCAGGTTGTGGTTGTAATCCACTTTTGGAGTTCTGGATAGAGCATATTGACACCCTATTTTTTTTTTTTTTTATCTTAAACGCAAAATGTTTTTATTTTTTTTCCAATCTTTGTATAATTACTGCTCAAGGTGGGTTGCTCTGTCATCTAAAGGCACGTTTTAGAGTCTCTATACTCCAGTTAATGATAAATCGATTACTAAATTAGTTAATGATTACTTTAATAATCGATTAATCAGATTAATTGTTTTAGCCCTCGTTGAAAGCACAGCAACATTTCTTGAACTCTCTTAAAATATGTGGCAAAAACATGGTACCAAGTGAAAATCTTTTTTTAAAGTGAAATAAAATAGAATAATAAAATATTTATCCTTTGAGATTTGATTGGTCTATTCTATACTTTAAGCTGCGTACAATGTGGGAAGACCTAGAACTGGAGAGGAAGATTTCTACTAATGTAGCAGAGGAAAAATCCATCACAACAAAGCGTGGGGAACGTAAGTAAAAGTCCCACTATTCAAAAATGATGAAATGTTAAACTCTGTAGTTATTTTGTAAAACTAATTTGTTGAGTCTCTCTCCCATTATCCACAGCCTGCTTTTGGAAATACTGTGTCTGACACTGACTAAAGGGGAAGATAACCACCATGGAAACTTGCTGCAGTGTTCAGCATAGCCTTAAAACCTGCTAACACCAGTAATTTAACTACCCTGTATTTATTCCAGCAATATAGCAATGTACATTTCATGTACCTCCTAGATACTGTCATGAAGCCCCAGAGTGATGTTACTGTGTATATTGTCTGACAGGAATTTTATTATGTAACAAACTGAATCTATTTTACCTCATCTGGATTTCTAATTTAACTATGTTTGTGTTTTCATTGCCCTCATCTGGCAGAACTTGGCAGAACTTTTTTTTTTAAAGAACCAACAATAACCTCACTTTTCACTGTTGTTAAAAAGAAACTGTGTTCATTTTCCTCAATGTAAATAGAATTTCAATGTCTGTCTATGATTTTTGTTTTAAAAATTCAGAAAAACATTAAAAAATTGCAACCTCTGTTATGTAAATCCTTTTAAATGGAACTTTTTTTTTGTGTGTGTGCAAGTTTTGGGATTTTTTTTTTTTTTTTTTTTCAGAATTTCTTAGTTGTTAAAGTGTTTAACAATATCTTTAAAATGTGGTAATAAACATGACACACCTTCAGGATGCTAATTTGCCATAGAGACAACTGGATCTTTATCAAAGCCTAGTTGGAACCAGCTGAGTGCTGCAGCAAATATTGTCATGCTTAACACTGCAAGCCTGTAAACTTAAAGGAGATACGACTGGCTCAATGCTGCAACAAAATAATAGGAGACTAGGCCACATGCAAAGATACATAACTAACATTTACGAAAGGGGAAGCAAAAACTAAAAACTATTAGTAACGGTAATAAATAAATAAATAAAAAACCTCAAAAGTACATGCAGAGGGGAGAGTAAGGCCCAGCAGCTGAGCATCAGCTGCAGAAGCATCAACACATCGACCAGATAGATGAGAAGAGAGCACACATACAGGGACATAATAATAATCTGAAAAGTGAGGGGGCATATTTTTTGTGATCTTTTGATGTGTAATCTCTTGCTTTTCATTAAACATCTCTTTGTGAATAAGGAAACACAAAATCCCCAACAGCCACATCACAGCCCCAAGAGACCGACTTTTGTTCCTTAAACAAACAACATTTGAAGTTTTAGCTAAGAAACTCTGGTTTGATTGTCATAACTATCCTCTCTACATCTACAGCTTAAGTAGCCTGATCTCTAAGTTTGAAATTGCAGCCCTGGACACGAGATGTCTGGTAAAAACCCTTTCCTGTAAGCAAGATATTACTTAGGCCATGGTATAAATGGAAATGACACAGTAATAAGCCAAATGCTGACTGCGTAAATGTTAAAAGACGTAGTCAGACTCCTACATCCGAGAAACCACAGCTACACAAAACTTAAACACAAAGCTTAAACAAAGAAAAAAATATTTCAATGGCTCAGGAAAACAACTCTGTTGATTTGCTTGGAATTTTACTGAGGGCGTGCTTAGGAAGATGGGCCTCTAGGGGCTTAAAAACATCAGCAGTCTTTCTACAGATTCTAGGATTGGTTTAGTAATGTTTTTAGACAAACTGAGTGATTTAGTTTAGATTTAGTTTAAGCCTGACTTGTGGTTGCCTGAGATTTTCCACAGGAACACATACTTTCATTTAAGTAGGAAAGTTACTTATCCACAATTAACTCAATTTTAACAGACATGTAATACTGGTCTAGATAAAGAAAAATGACCCATACCTGCTTCCTTACAAAGCAAATAATGCAGAAGTTAAATATCTAACATTTAAAAATCTAACAAATGAATGCAAGGTCTAAATATAAGTATATATAACAAATTACATTTTTTCTTGACAGTTTTTGCTTTAGTCATCTCTGCATTCAATTTACAAAATATTATCAGTTCTAGATTTATGTTATGCACAACGTAGCAATGGTACGACCAAAATAAAATATAGCAAAAAATATAAGTATTTGTTGCCAATCCTCTATAGTTAAGTAACTGTAATTCAATAAATATGATATTAGCATTTATGAATGAAAACATACATTTGTATCTGTTATAGGCCAAATCTCTATCTGATTTTCTTTCATAGGAATAAAGAAATCTTGCGCAAAACGTGCGAAACATGTATCTGTGCCTCGTTTTAGCTGCAATTATTAGCTGAGAAATGTATCTCCTATTTAACAGTTTATTCAATTTATCTGTGTGGGTAATAAGACGACAGTGTTCCAGTGCTAAAGCCTGGAGTCATCTCTGCCTTCTACTACCCATTACAACAGTAAAAATGAAAGCCATAGTGAGCACAGCTTCTACATACACAGAAATTAAAGTGTTGGATTTATTGTTACTGTGAACTAATTATCAAGGTTTAAGACATAGGGAACAGCACTAGTAGTTAATTAGATTGGCATGATTTGCTGGCAAGTATTAACAAGTAATTTAGCTGTTATCATGCAACAGCAGTGCTCAACTTAGATGGCTTGTTTCTAAAAACTGATGGTGAGGGACCGAGCCAGCCAAGCATGAGGTCACAGCAGTGATTATCAAGAAAAATTGGCTTTATTTCCCCAAAGTAACAAAGAATCCAAACAATAATGACAGGTTCCTTATAAGAGGTAAAATAAAGAGACTAACTTAAGGCAAAAAATACCAAGGTTAAACATAACAAAACTTCAAACTAACTGCACAAACAAAACTGACCTGACACACAACAAACAAAGGGAACTTAAATACTGGCTGATCAGACAAGACTGACACACTGAGGAAGAGGTAAGGAGAACATCTACACAAATTTAACAAAAATAAAGAAACAGTTAGCTTAAAGATTAAACTTAGATTACTAATAACTAAACAAAATTGACAAAATGAGCAAATCACAAAAGAAAAAGAAAAAAAGATTATGCAGCATATTAAAATGTGAATTCCATAGTCTTCCCCCATAGTGGAACTCAAGATGGTACCACCCAATCAGTCAATGAATGTGCCAGCCAGAGTCTTTTGCATTCTCCCAGTTAAAGGTATTCCCCACAACACCAGAAAAGGAAGTACAAATAATATTAAGCATTTGACAAAATTAAATATACAGAAGTTAACCAAATGTGCGCCCTACAATTGGAACTAATGTCTTCTAATATTGTCAAAATAAAAATAAATAAACCAATATATTTATCCTGCATGTGTTAAAGTGAAAAAGTGAAAAAGTGGTTGTGCAATTACTGACCATGTGACCATCACAAGTTGTTTAAAGCAAAGGTAGGACAAAGGCACACAGAAAGTGGGGTGTGGACGTATCTTATCCCTCCCCCTGTCACCCATATATATATATATATATATATATATATATATATATATATATATATATTTATATATATACACACACCCACACATATATACATGCATGCTGGTTGTGCAAGTTCTCTAACTTAAAAAGCTGAGAAAGGTGTGTCATTTTGTTCATAGTTACACCTTAACTATCAGACAGAAAAAAATATACAAGAAATCATATTGACCAAATCAATAAAAACACATCATCTCCTTGTAGCATAACCCCTGTTGGCACCAAAGGAGGTCAAACCTTTCCAGTCAGTTCCAGTCAGGTTTGCTCACACTGGTATTTGGGCTCATTCCTCCATGCAGATCTCCTCTGGGTCAGTGATGTTGGAGCTGCTGCTACACAGTCTTCTTGAGACTATCATTGCCACTCCAGTATCTTAGAATATGTTGCCAAAGCAGTGTGTTTGATTAAGGCCCTGTTATTGTCCACCTGCAAATTAATGACTGCTGGAAAAAATATTTTGGCCTAACTAAAAAAAAAAAAAACATTAAAAAAGATACATGGCCCTGTTCATTCCCTGGTGAATAAGTATCAATTCTCCCCTTTATAGAAAACGATCCCAGAGAATGACGTTTCCACCCACGTGCTTCATAGTAGATATGGATGAAACTAAACAGTCTTCTGTCTTCAGAGAAAAAAAAATTATTTAGATTTCATCTTATATTTTCCCAGTCCTCTTCTGGATCATCCATATGCTCTCCAGCAAACTTTAGGTAGTCAAAGACATGTACTGGTCAAGCTTGAAAAGCAACTGGACGTGAAGTTTTCTAGAAGATGTTTCGCCTCTCATCCAAGAAACTTCTTCAGTTCTGATGATGGTGAACAATGTGATTAATACACTGTAGGTATAGCAAAAGAAAATATATTACATTATATTAATAAAACTTCTTAAATAAGAAGTTATATTAATATAACTTCTTATTTAAGAAGAGTCAAACTTCTTGCTTGCTGTGTGCGTCACCAAATACTTAGTTTGTTTAAATAGATCATTTGAAATCATACAGTGTGACTTTGAAAATGTTGAATGCAAATGCATTGGTGAAATATTCCACCTGCTGGAAGTTTCAGAAAATACCACTATGGGGCGCCAAATGTAAGAAATGTTACAAAAAGTAGTTCACTGACACATTTCTGATAATTAGTGCACTTTCTTCTCATTATTTGCTTTTATCTCAGATTTAGAAATGCTGAATAAAAAATTTCAATCTATTACATTTATCTGAATTTAACTGTTAAATAATTTTTTTACATCCTATATCAATATATGAGTGTTATACCTACAGTACATGTAAATCTGTAATGTATATCTGAATCTTTCATCTGAATATGTATCTTAAATCTTAAGTCTAAATCTTAAATCTAAAATCAAATATATATATATTAAATGATATATATAAACCAAATATATCTAAAATCTATTTACAGCATTTCTTATATCCATCTTCTCCCACTTATTCCATCAAGATCGCAGTGAGACTGGTGTCTATCTCTGGCAGTCTATGGGAAAAAGGTAAAGTAGACCTGGGACAACTCACCAGTGTATTTCAGGGCAACACAGACACAAAACCTCACGCACACACCTAAGAACAGTTAAGAGAAGCTAATTAACCTAACATTCATGTTATCCTTGCATTCAAAGGGGACAACATCCTAAAACTCCATGCAGAAAGACCCCAGGCCGGGAATTGAACTTAGAATCACTGCAGGGCAACAGTACAAACTGCACCACCATGATGCTCTATCCTGTATTTCTTACTCTGAAATCTAAATGTGTTAAATGCTAGAAAAAACTAAAAATGTAAAGAAAGTGTGCTAAATAACAGAAATGTGATGT